AGTGGAGTGTAGAAGAAGGCTCGATGCCATGTCTTGGTACTTTGACTTTAGATAACTGCAAAAGGTTGAAGGAACTTCCAGATGGGCTCAAGTACATAACTTCGTTAAAGGAGCTGAGGATAGAGAGAATGAAGAGGGAGTGGTGGGAGAGATTGGTACCAAGTGGAAAAGATTACCGCAAAGTCCAACACATACCCAATGTTCAGTTTATCAACTGTGAGGGCCAATAAGTAGAATAAACAGTGGCACATAATGACATAAATTTAAATCTTAGCAATGCTTTTTTTATCATGTTCATGACTCTCCTCCTGAGCAGCTGAGAGAGTACTTTTTTTTTTGAACACATCCAAGAGAGTACTAGTCACCGGTTTCCACTCTGTAATCGACACATGTTTTTTTTGTTGTAGGAAATATTTAAAGATTCATACAAATTCCACTAATGACTTCTAACTAGCTGAACGAAATTTTTGCGTTTTGGTTCGGTTACAGTTTTGAGTTCTGTTTAATTTGGTGGGATTGTGAAAATAATCTGGTTTGGTTCAGTTATCAGTTTCTTTTTTAGAAAAATAAATAATAAAATAACTACAAATAACAAAAATAATTGAAATTAACCAAAAATAATCAATCTGAACTAAGCAAACTAACTGAAACAGTTAAATTTAACTGAAATAGTCTAATTTAAGCACAAATATCCTATTTTAGAAAAATTAAAGTGAAATCTAGGCCAAACCCAAAAATTTGGTTATTTCGGATAAAATTTTGAAAAACCAAAATTAACCAAAGACGAAACGATTTTTTAGTGTAATTTGGTGTAATTGTTATCCAACCAAATTAACCGAAATCGATAATACTCGATCACTTCTAACCGTTTAGTATTGGTCTAAGATGTCTGGCTAAACCAAACCCATTTGATACAATCATGAATCAACCATGTTTATACTTTCTTTATTCTTCCTTTGTTTTTCCTAAAAATATTCTCTTTATAACTAATTTTTTCCTTTATTTGTATTATTTTTCTATAAAGAAAAACTATAATTTGCTTAACTTTTACTAAACAATTATTTTTATTAAGCTTGTATTTCTTTCTTTCAATACTTAAATTAAAAATGAAAGCTAAACAAATATTTTTTATAATGAATTAAATTGTTAAATGCAATATGTAGTTTTATGTTAATATTACTCACAATGAATATTTAACATTGACAAAATATTTTTGTTTCATTTCACTCAACTATTTATTTATAAGTTAAGATATAAATGACTAATGTAATCTTTTGATATCATATTATAGAAGGTGCTATTACTCACACATCCATTTCTGGAGGAACCTAAGATAGATCTAAACTATTAGAAATGAAAAGTTAGAGTAAATAAAAAATAATATAAAGTACATTTCTTTTAAAAAATTCACAAACAATATTTATAGCAGGCGCTGATAAAATACGGCACGTATTGTTTGAACAAGCCTATTTTGTTGAGCTTAATAGCCTTTTATTTTGGGTTGGCCTAATTAACAAACGCAATTATAGATTGAGCTGGCCACTTGTGTATTGTTTTTTTTCACCTTAACAGTTTAATCAGTAAACCATATTTAAATTAAGATCGGATAATTTTAAATAAATTCTAACGCATTACTAGTTTAATTCAATCATTGTATTTTTTTTCTTCAACTATGTATAGCATGTGATCGGCCTTATGAAAAATTTACCAAAAGTCTACGGAACTCAAGCGACCATGAACGTTTGGAAGCCGAAGATCAAAGGATCAAAATAATTTAGCCCAGGTCAAATCTGGTTAACGTCAGGATCATATACTGACAACAACCTTAACAATATCATATACTGACAACAACCTTAACAGTATCGAAGCAGGGTGGCAGGTTCGTATCGAAATATTTTTATGTAATCCAATGTTTATGAATGCTGACTAATAATTATATTTTAAATTATTATATTTTATAGGTTTATCCGTTCTTATATCATGACTTTCAGTCGCGGTTTTTCATCTTTTGGACGGTAAATATCTAATTCGATTCTTTTCATAATTTCTTAAACTTTATACATTACCAATTAAAGGTCTAAAATAATAATAACAATCAAATAAATGTCAAAAATATTAATTTAATACTGGCTAGTAGTGACTACTGAAATTAATGTATTATAAAAATCAATTATTATGTATTTTTTTCAGTCTTACAAAATCAAAATATTACCTATTACAGTTAACTATTTAACTATGTTACATGTTCAATTCATCAAAATTTAAAAACATAATAGTTTCTCATAAAATTTTAAATATACATTTAACCAATAATCTAATAATTTATATCTAACATTTTATTAATTTGTTCATGTGTTTACATTATAGACGGATGAGTACAATCAGACGGGATGTTATAATCTTAGATGTGGCGATTTTGTACAAACCAGCAAGAAAATTCTGGTAGAAGGTGCTATTACTCAGACATCCGTATTTGGAGGCACCCAAATAGACCTAACCATACGAATATGGAAGGTTAGAATCAATACTTTTAAAATCACTAATACATAATTAATTTAAACTAATAAACAAACACAAATACATGATCACAAATCTGGAAGTTGGTGGCTAGGAATCATCACTGGTGTTCTAGAGCCGGTCGGCTACTGGCCATCATTTCTCTTCACCCTCTAGACTGACTATGCGGAAAAGGTGGAATGAGGTGGCGAGATTGTGAATAGGCAATCTCTAAGTCAGCACACATCAACAAAGATGGGGTACAGTTGTTTTTCTTACAGAACTGAAAAAACTGCTTATATGGGCAATCTCGAAATAGCTTTATCTGAAAACAACTTTGAGCCACTTCCAGACCTCCATGTAAAAGCAACTAGCTTTGACCATTACAATGCCGAGAAAGTCAATAGTACATTTTTCTATTATGGAGGACTGGAGCAGCTAAAGTCAGGAGGAGCTATTCAGCTTATGTTAACCTATGTTCTTATGTATTTTGGTTTCATGTTGTTTTTATTAGTTTAGGTTCTTTACTTGTTTGTATTAACGAAGCTTCCATGTCTATATATTATACACTCAGGGATGGGTATTACAATTTCTAGATTGTTAGCTATTGTTTATTATATTTTAAACATACCTGAGACCAAAAAGTTCTGATTAGACAATGAAACTGCTAATATTACTGCGAGTATGCAAGTCATCAAAGTTTTTGTAGTACCCATAGTACTTTTCGAACAAAATTTATTGATAAAAGATCTTAATTTTCTGGATACTAAAGAGAAGTAACAAGTTTTTATATAACTTCTGGTCTTGGGAACTCGTTTTACTATTAATTACTTTTCTATATTAGCGAGTCAAATCAAATATTTTGTTGGCAAAATTGACACTTGATTGTATACTTAAAGGTGTCATTTAACTAGGATTCTCAAATCAATTACAGTTTCAAAAGAAAGAAAATCTGACACTTTGGAATTTTATTAAACGCATAATTCAATGTTGATTCTGTAATTATATTTTGGTATTAGGGTATAAAGTTTCTTTGACTTTGGAATTGATATTAAACAAAATCTTTACACAAAATTTACATGTATCACAAACTATAACTTTGGCTAAATACAAAAACTACAATTAAATATATATTTTTTGAAAATAAACAATTTCAAACGTAAGTTTGATTAACTCGTCCTTATAGCTAAAAATACAAATATATACTACAAGAAGTGTCTAAAAATTATTATTTGACCAATTAAATACCGTAAACAGTATTTAATCTAAGTAAACAATTCTAATATCAAGTTTGCTCAAAGTATCAAGATTGTCATCATTCCTCTAACTAGTAAATGATGCTAAATGCTGAATTACATCACAATCATAATCTGGCCCAGTCCTGATAGTCGGTATTTCACTAAAATATATATAAAAAAATCTTACAACTAAATTTACTGTTAAACTGACTAAAACTTTTTATAACTTAAATCGATGGACTAAGGTGAAGGGTCGACATTTCCGGTTTTGTTCAGTTAATGTAGAACAGTTTGGTTTTAGCTTGGTTTTAAGTTATTATAGTTTGGTTGATCATCAATAGGGGTGGGCACGGATCGGATATCCGGGTTTTTTAAGGTATTTGTGATTTGCTTCGAATGTTACGGATATCTAATTTTGGTATTTGCTTTGCTTCGAAAAAATACGGATATCCGGAAAAACGGATATCCGGAAAATAAATAAATATTTGCGGATATTTACGAATATTTACGGATATCTCATCCATTTAAATTAGTACAAATAATCTTAAGATTTTGATACAAATTTGCTTTGCAAAAATATTTTTTGCATGATATATAAAATAAAACTTAAAAGAACTAGTGAATTTACAGATTTTGTAATTTTTTAAAGTTTAAGTTACAATTATAATAACACAAAATTTAAGAAAAAAATATAATTGTCAAAAATATTTTATCTCTTTTTATGTAATACTTTTATATAAGTAATAATTTGAATAGAATTGTTCAAAATCATGTGCTAAATTAATAATTATATAATTTTATACAATTAAAATTTTAAATATAATCAAAATATACATATATTTATATATTTACGGATCGGATCGGATATCCGCTTTCCACAATTTTAATATTTGTGATTTGCTTCGATTTTAACGGATATTGAATTTTAGTATTTGCTTTGATTCGAAAGTTTACGGATATCCGGAATTTTCGGATCGAATCGATACGAATAACGGATCGAATCAAATATAACGGATAAAATGCCCAGCCCTAATCATCAATTCGTCCTACGCTCTTACTACAGTCATCCTCTAACTTTTTATTTATCTAAAACTGACCAAGTGAAAACGTTACAAAAATGTAGTTTAGTTGAACTTAAGAACGTAGTAACTATGCTAAAATTTCTGGTTACAAAAAAAAAATTAAAGCCTCAACGCAAAGGGCTCTGCTTGAAGAGGCTCCTTATCCATATCACTGAAGTCGAAAAGAAGAGTTGAAGTTTAGTTGTTAGACAGTAAGAGATCCACCATTATCACCCGCTGTAAGGTTCAGAATCATCGTTGCAGCTTTCACAGCCCTGTTACATTTTCCATCCCACATCAGAGGCTTAGAAGAGACCATACAGCGCATTCTTATGATTCGGAGTTATGAAGAAACTGATTTCAAGCGAATATATGTTTGTTTTAAAATATGTCAATGTTCTGAGGAGGTTGAGGTTGGTTGCTTACCAAGCATCAGGAGCTTGATACAAGGAAGCTGTGTTGCCAAAGCAGGAAGTGAGCAATTCTGTGTTGATCACTCCTGGATTTAATGCAACCACTGCCATCCCTTCAGCTACCTCCTTTGCCACAGATCGGCTTAAACCCTCGATGGCCCATTTCGATGCACAGTAAGGTGCAACCTACAGATTTAGTTTTGGTTTCAAAAGTTAACCTCACTAGGATCAGGTTTTGATGATACGCCTAGATCATATAGGTGCAGAAATGCAGAGTAGAGAAAGAGACTATCAGAACAAAACTATCTATAGTCTCTCCCTACCATCTATTTTATCAATTCAACGTGTTTCCTCATTTCCATGTATGATAACTTACGACTGTTTACTCCAACATCACTATCAAGGTTCCCGCTTCACTTCAGCTTATTAGAGAGGTATCCAAACATCATTTCTATATCCGAACAAAGTCTAGCTCAAGATTATTTTAAATAATCCAAAATTTTCCTATATTTTGCTGTCTTCGTTACTACTTTTTCTGTAACTATAAGAACAAACATACGATAATAGCTCGTGATTCAATAAAGTGATGAATGAAACTCACCAGGGCAGCACCAGATCGTCCCCATCCAGAAGACATGTTAACAATAATCCCTTGCTTCCGTGGGAGCATCAAAGGGATGAAATGGCGCAGTACATTTACTACTCCTTTAACGTTTGTATCCATGACACTGTCAAAATCTTCTACAGAGACTTCCCAAATCTTGCTGTTCTTATTGATAGTACCGGCATTGTTAACTGAAACGTGCATTTTACTAACATCAATAACTAGAGAAAATCGGACTGGAAGAATGATGCAAACCCAATAATAACAGAACGTGCAAGCAAGAGATGATGATTATGTAATATCAAATCTCACAGACATCACCCTTGAGAAAAAAGAATGAATTCTTGAATGTCAAACAAATGAATACGACGGCAGATGGGTTAAAGCACTGCTTTAGAATACTCAGGAACTCAAGGGAAAACCAAAATTTCAGACCATGAGGGTTATATCCATAAGAAAGAAGCACATGAAGAACTCAATCATCCGAACATAGTTTTCACGATATGCTGACCATAATTTTCCCATCTTCTTCTGTTTAGGCAAGTTGACTTACGTATACCTAAGAAAAAACTAACCTAAAGGATTACTACCAAAAACATTATAATGTTTTCTCTAAAACAAATGATATTACCGTCAAAGAATACAATGACATCAACTTTGAAACAGTTGCCTTCAGGGAAAGGTTGAAGACTGGAGACAGAGAGAGTCAAAAAGAAGGTTCAACAACATATACCTATGATATCTGGGACACCCTTCTTCTCCATAATTGTGTGTGCCATCTCTTTAACACTGCTATCTGATTTCTGCAAACATACATAGACCATAAATCATACTAAAATAATATTAACTTCATGAGTTTTATCAAAAAAAATCAAACAGCTGCTGATGAAAATATCATCAGTTCACTTAATTCTAACTGTTTATCCAATGAACATTTCTTTGTGGATACACATTCACATAAACAAGTCTCAATCAATATCCAGAAAAAATCTCTTCTGTTTTCCGGTAATTACCATCTCTAATTCTATAACAAATTATCACACGGGAGTATTGAGAGTTACGAAGAGCTGAGGCAATTAATTACCACATCGGCGGTGAGGAGGAGATGATTGTCCGGGAAGGAGATCTCCGATTGAAGAGCGGTGAGCTTCTCCTGAGTGCGGGCGCATCCAATCACAGTGTGGCCTCTCTTCGCCAGCTCCAGAGATAAGGCTCTTCCCAGACCTTTGCTCACTCCCGTTATCATCACTATCTTCGCCGCCGTAACTGAATTCGCTGCCCCGCTGAAAGGCTTCGCTATCGTCATAGTCTATATGCCCGATCAANCTCCGATTGAAGAGCGGTGAGCTTCTCCTGAGTGCGGGCGCATCCAATCACAGTGTGGCCTCTCTTCGCCAGCTCCAGAGATAAGGCTCTTCCCAGACCTTTGCTCACTCCCGTTATCATCACTATCTTCGCCGCCGTAACTGAATTCGCTGCCCCGCTGAAAGGCTTCGCTATCGTCATAGTCTATATGCCCGATCAAACTTCGCTTTCTCCGGTAAAAGATGTGCCGCGAAGGTTATATATATACACTCCACGTATATTTTATTTGTTCGCCTTTTCTTCTTTTTTTATGACGTCACTCAAAATCATTTGTTTTAATATCCTTACAAATATTTATTATAAAAATAAAACTTAATTTAATTTTCGCCAAAAAAAAAAAAAAAAACTCAACATGCGATGAGACTGTAAAGTTTACAAAGGAGACTAAATGAAGAGATGATGATATATCACATTGGTCTCCAACGCTCAATCTCCTCTGGTTCCTTTGGAGTCTGCTCGTCTGACCTTCTTCGTTTCCTATGTCTACTACTACCACATCTCTCTTTGTGTCTTTCTTCTCTCCCCTCATCACTTGATGAGCCACTTATTACACTCCTCTTGACTTCTTGCGATTCTCGGCCTTGTCTGCTTCCATCAGAACCAGAATCACCGGTCTTGTGCCTATGTCTATTAGCTTTATCTCTTGGACTAGTCTCCACACTTCTTTTCCTGTCATTATCTCCAAGGTATGATCTTTTATGTCTACTTTCACTCGAGTCTCCCTCGTGCGAATATCTTGACCTGCTTCTTTCCCTCCGCGACTTATCACCAACCCTATCATATCCATTACTTTCCTCCTCCTCATCAGCACCTGATCCTTCTCTATCATGTTCTTTTCTTGACCTCCTCTCAGAACTAGACCTATGGGTGGTTCTCGTCTCCTCTTCATCGTTCAGACGTTCTTCAACTTCTGAATCTGAGCCTCTTCTCCCATAACGTCTTGAGCATTTCCGTTTGTGACTAGTCTCTCCCCTGCCGTCTTCGTCTCCTGAATCATCATCATCGGAATACCTCCCATGGATTCTTTTCCTCGTCACCCGATGTCCAGGAGAGTGTTCAGACCATTTGGTTTCGTGACGTGATGTCTCTTTACCATGACGTGGCTTTTTATAGATCTCACTCTCAAAACTACCATCTCTAGTACTGCTAAGTTTGTGTCCACGAGAACTGTCCCGACTATCACCGTGACTCTTACGGCTCCTACACGAAGCTCTAGATCCCACGCTCTCACGATCATGGTCCCTCGATCTAGATCCTCTTGAATGTTGTCTGATATGGAAACAATACACATGAGCATGACGCTTTATTGCAATATATCAAGCAGGAAATACAATGAGAAAGTTTTATTCAAAGATCAGGATACTTAGAAGCCACTAAGTTAGTTACCTATGTGAATCTATTGGTGGTTGATCTGATCTAAAATCACTTAACGACCCTGAATATTCACGCTCCATCTGCTTCAAGTATTCATCTGAATAACCAAATAAAGCGGTCATTTTGTGAATCCAGAATCTTGGAGGTGGTTTGTCATGGTCAGCCCATTCATAGTCTCCACCCGGGTTTCGGAAACAATGGATAAAGTTGCAAGCAGATCCACGAGAGCAAGTCTGTACAAATAGATGGAAATCATGAACTACTGATAAAAAATCCAGAACATGGAATCCAAATGAAGAGTCATACTCTGAGCCTAGACTTCATGTACTCCCCACATATGGCGACTTTCCATCTTGAGATGTTGACAAATTCGCAGTTCACCTAAATAAGAATGTGCAATTAGAATGTCGGCACGCTTATTTATAATACTTCTTTTGTTTCAAGACAGAGTGAACACAACGCTATGATGATATGAACAAATGAGATCTCTGACAAAACGCCATACAATAGGGTTACAATTTCCAAGGAAAGTAGTTTACCTGTTTACCAGCAAAATATCGACCATTAATGGACTGGTAGGCAAGAATAGCTGATTCNAATTAGAATGTCGGCACGCTTATTTATAATACTTCTTTTGTTTCAAGACAGAGTGAACACAACGCTATGATGATATGAACAAATGAGATCTCTGACAAAACGCCATACAATAGGGTTACAATTTCCAAGGAAAGTAGTTTACCTGTTTACCAGCAAAATATCGACCATTAATGGACTGGTAGGCAAGAATAGCTGATTCTAGTGATCTGTAGTGTACATACACATTGCCCTTCAAGTGGAGTGAGCCATTTCTACATACCTGAAATGGACATATAAATTTTCCTCTTGAGAATAGAAAGGCTATGAGGGAAGTTCAAAAGATAATACATATTCACCAACATGTTTTATTCTCAAACACGGGACCATGATGTTCCAGTTGCTCATATAATGATATGGGATGCAGGGACCCACTAGTTTTCAGAATGGATAGCCAAATGTGGCTTGCAGGTTTAGAACTAAAATTCAGGTATAAAACGAAGGCTGGCGGGAACGAGGGAGTATTAAAGACAGACCTTGAAGTTAATAAGTTCTCCATACTTCAGGAACTCCGTATGAACATCTTCATAAAACTCTTCGTAACATTGTTCAGCTTCCTCATCTGTATACTGCAAGGAAGACGGGACAAAAAGACGGAGAGAGTAAACTACAGAAAGTGACTAAAGCAACAAACCAGGCGAGATAATATGCAGGTGAGGTCCATTAGCTTTCATATCAAACAAAACAGGATAGTTACAGCCTTACGAAGTTATAACTGCATCAGTCCTTTCCAGACACTACTACCCCAAAGCAGCCAGACCGCATGAAGGACACTATTATGTTCTTAATTCAGGAAAACCAAACCAAGCATTTATGACGCATTGAGCAGCGGATGAATCATTTATCCCATATCACCCACTCCCACAAGGAAATAAGAAGACACTCAAACCAAAAGAAATGAAACACTGACAAACAATAGGGAGACTGCATAACTTTTAGTAATCACTAACTACAAACACACAAGACACCAAGTTAAAGTAAGTTTGTCTATAGTATTTCTATGAAGGCAAGAAAGAGACACTAATACAAGGCAAAAATTTGCATGCAAAATCTATCAGTCAAGTAGGATACAAAGTGAACTGCAACTCCAACCTGGCCCAGGTTATAATCATGCACCTCCATAGAAGGAAATCCATCAATGTCTGATGGAAGTTAAAGAAGATGGTAACAACAATAAAGAAAGAAAGAAAAGAATTCTGAAAATCTAAAGCACACAGCAAAAAAAAGAAAGGCAGATGGATTGATAATTTTGATTCAGAAAACGAATAAGCCTAGAGTAGAAGAGAAGAACTAATTATTATCAGGATACAAGCATCAGGAGATGACAGCGGTTACAGACCTCAAGCCCCTCATCCTGTTCCCGAGCAATGCCAGGGCCATTATACATGTTCTTCATAAGTATAGTGCACGATTTATCAGGGTAGAAATGAACTCTGCTGCAACGCGGGCCAAACCGACAAGCTCCGGTCTTTAAATGGAAAGGACAATGAGCTTTATCCTGAGCATTACGAAAAAGAAAAAGAACTAAGCCTATTTACTAGAAGGGACATAGAAACAATACACAAAGATTGATACAACAATCACCTGCTCAGTTCCAAAGTTGGGTACTTCTTGTGCAACACTATCCAGAATCTGTTGAGCAGAGCTAACATTCTGATACTTTGACAAAGCTTCAGTTCCCGGAGGTAGAGGATTTGATGTAGGCCTATCACCAATCTTTCAAAACAAACTCTACTTAAAACTCTAATAAAAATCAAACTACACTCAAGAACGGTATGTCCACCTAGATAATAATCAAATACCTCATTTCCATCCACTTTAACTACTGATTTCTTTAGAACTCTAACTTTGTTCTTTCTGAGAATAATCTCATTCCCCTTGAATATAATCTCTGGAGGCCCTTCTTCTATATATTCATAATCACCATCCTCCTCATCATCTCTACTAGCCTGCAAAAAGAAACGTTATATACACATCAATCTCACAATAATCAAATCCTCCATAAATTATTCAACAGAGCTATCAAAAGGACTACCTCAAGCTTTCTCTCCTCCTCTAACTCCTTCCAACGCCTCTCTTCCTCTTCCTCCTTCTTCCTCTTAATCTCCATAGCCTCTCTCCAAGCTCTCTCACTCTCCTCGAACTCTCTCAGCTCCTTCTCTCTCTTCCGCTCCTCCTCTTCCTCAATCGCCTTCAGCTTCTCCTGCTCCTCCGGATCGTTTAACTTCGCTTCCGCCTCTTCTCTCTCTTTCGACGCTATCTCCTTCCTAATTTGCTTCCTCTTCGATTTCTTCATCGCTTTTCGCTTCTCCTTTCGGCTCATCTCCGCCGCTTTCTCTTTACTCTCTTCCAACGCTCCCATCGCTCCTTCGAGTCGCTCTCCTTCTTCTTCCGTTTCGTTCTGCGGCTCCATTATCACGATCGCGTTAACCTCCTCCTCTCTCGCTCCGAGGTTGAAAGAGTCGGTTAGCCTAAACCGAAACCGAATAGTGTAACCGAGGATCGAATAAAAGAATACCAAATGGAACCGGAATCATTATACGCTTGGATCAAACCATACCAAACCGGAGAACCCTAGTTGGTTATAATGTTATGTAGATTCCATTCGACTGATTCGAATTTTTGAATTTTCGGTATTATGTCATAAACTTCATTCAGGTTTTACTAGTTTTAGATTGAGTTTGATTCGGATCGGACTATAACTAATATCTTAAATCCTCCAAAACTGTTTTTAAATTAACAAAACATATTTAATATCTATAAATTCTTCAAAAAAATCTAATTAAATCCTACACTAAGTAAAAAGTATGTTAAAATAGAAAATCAAACAAACTATATAAATATTTAGATATTCTAAAATATCTAAATTATTTTTACATATATAAAAGATGAAAATATTAATTTAATTTCAGATATTTTGGCTCGCAGTTCGAATTTTGGTTTGGTTTGATTTGGGTTATATCCAAACAGGAAATAACTAAGTTTGTAAGTCTTGTTCAGATTTTTGTATAAATATTTGAATGGGTTTTGTTTTTCGGTTCGGGTCAAGGTTGAGACTTCGGTTTGGATAAAAAAAAAGGCCCATGCCTAAATCTCTGTTTTGTTATGTTATATTAAGTTCAGTTCCGTTCATGATACTATGAATCTCTTGCACACTGAACAATAGGAGAATACTTAAACGAGAAAGTTACTCACTGATCTTCTTAAGAACAAAACATGAATCACAAAGTCTGAAATATAAAAAAACGATAAACCCAACATTCTTAATAAGCGAAATAGCCTGATTTTCCTGAGGCAGCCAAATCTGAACTGGTCCTTGCAAAGGAAGGTATAACTCCTATACGAGCTTTCTTCTTAAGCCAATGACCAACAGCCTCAAGACCAAGATACGAAAACAGTACAGCCAACGCTCCACCAGCAACGGCCACAATGGATGGGAACAACCATCGTGTTCCATGGTAATGCGGTATGGTCACCCAAGATGCTGCAACATAAGCAGTGGCCATGAACCCTACAGAAACCCACATCATCCTATGTGTGGCCACCAGTAACCTCTTCAAGGGTTTCCTCTTGTAAGGTATGATGCTAACGAGAAGAATCACGATGGCCAAGGACGTGAAGAGTGCGATGTTATTGCATATCGCAAAGACTTTAAACGCTATCGTTTTACCCACTATGGATTTGCCTCTCCATGGACCGTCTTGGTAGACGCCTCCTGGAGGGTTTATTCCACCCGCATAAGCAACTGATGCGATCAAAACCGCCACTATGGTAATCGTGTTTCTAGCGTTTTGTAACGCTTCTATGTACATGTCATATTCTAAGCTCTCGTGACCTTTTCCAACTTCACGTCCCTTGCGTAGCTTTCTCTCTGCCATCTCTGATGTGTTTTCTTCGATTAGTCTCAGCAACTGTATTACCTCATCCTCTTCAGGAGTTTTGCGTATCTCTGAAGGTTTAAAACATGACCGTTCTGGTTTACTGATCAATGGACTAGGTAGGTCTAAGTATACTTCATTGCTCTCAGAATCCAGCTCGTCTGAAGTCTCGATTTCAAACCTCAGCCAGCTTGATATCAACTCAAAATCTTGAGCATCATGGGGGAGAAGGTAATAAGCTGCAGAACCCATCTTGTTCTTCTTGTTGATATCTACTATCTTCGTACCAATAATGTAACGAATAAACTGCACCAGTAGGAATATGTGAGAAGAAAACAAATAAAGAAGAGAAACAAAAATCAACCGATGCAAAAAGACAGAATCATGTATACATTTGTGTCTGAGACTTGAACCTATGACTTCATAGACATCTACTAAATAATCCTTAAGAGTCTTAGCCACTAGCCATTCTACCAAGTGTGCTATTATGATACTGCTTAAACTTAACGTTGGATTATTCCAACTTAGAAGTGCTTTGGGTTTATGTAAAGGATAGGGACAAAGAAAAATACTCACTGGAGCACCACAAGCCACGGATGCAGCAGTGTGTAAGACAGTGTTGCCATTTTCATCTCCTTGCTGCAAAAGAATCTGGCTGCTACTGCCCAAACGCTCTGCCATGAAAACAAAGGCATCCATGTGATTGTTTCTTGCAGCCAGATGAAAGACGGTCTCTTTTGATGGGGTGAGAGAGATGAAAGACAATGGAGCCTTGTTCAAGAACTCTTCCAGGACTACAACCGAGCCTTTTAGGACCGCTAGGTGCAGAGGTGATAAACCGTTGGTGTTAAGAGCTTCATCTAGTCGTTGTTCTAGCCCTAACAATATTCTTGTCAATTCAAGATCTCCTCTGTCACACGCATGATGCAATAGCGTTGATAGCGAGCTGCCTTCGATAGGCCACGCTTCCTCCTTGGCTAGGTCTGGGAATCTCTCAAGTATAACCTTTACAACGCCTGACAATATATAACCCCAACAGAAAAGTGAGCAAAATGAAAACGATGCTAAATTAATGAGAGTAAAAAACACTAAATGTATGAAAACAATTACACTAACCCTCATAAATAATAGATACAATATGCATAGATTTGTACATAGAAGGATACACTTAATTTCCTAAAATAATACTCCTATGATCTGTGTTTTAGGAAGAAGAAAACATTTCAAAATATACCTTTTTTTTACATTTTCAATATATTTTTATTAGGTAATAATAGTAAATGATAAATTTCGAGAAATTAATTGTGTTATGTTTACTGAACTTTGATTGATTAAAATTAAGAGAAATAATTAATCACAACAAATAAATTTATTTATAATCAAAACTTAATATGTTTTTATTAATGTGTGAAAACTTCAGAACATACATTTTCAAGAATACAAATTAGTATATTATAATGTATTCAAGTAACTTACATGTGGATCCACTTGATATGGCATATTTGAGTTCACCAAGATCAACTAAATTTGTCTTTTCCGCAATGAGTTTAGCAGCCTCCATCGAAATGCTACGGCAAGCTAAGTGTAGAGGTGTGTCATTGTTGTTGTTTCGTGCAGTACACGCTTCTACTCCAGTCTCTAACATCTGCATTACTATGTCCACGTCTCCAAGGAGAGCAGCAAGATGCAACGGTGTGTTTCCCTCCGCGTTTAGCGAACAAACTAGCGAAGGTCGGTGATCAATGATCTTGGAGACGAGTT